CGAAGGCGGGGGGGGGGGGGGATTCACTAGAGTTCCTTTGCAATATGTTGAAAATTTAGGCCCAAGGAAAGTAGTAAGAAAGCCCTTGACAGGCAATGATCAACTTTATAAGGGAAAGGAATAGCTGAAAATAAATCTTGGAAATTCCTCTTGCTAAGCCAAGGAACCTGAAGCATGGAACAAAACGAATGGGATTCACGGAAGAAAATAATTGTCGAAGACCATCATCGACGAAGGATTGGTCGATGACCTTCAGAGACCGCAAAGGCGATATCAAGGTGCCTTTTCTCGTGAATTGATGATAAACTGGTCTTCGTGTTCTAGTTGGTGTTCTCATATAACTAACTTTTAAAAGAAAAGAGAAAATTTGAAAGAAAACGTGCATTAGTGTCAACGATGAAATATCTTTATCTAATATATATATATATATATATTATATATAATATATATAATATATATATATCTTTCACACACACACACACACACACACACACACACACATACACACACACACGCACACGCACATGTAAACAGAAACGCGTATACGTACTGATTCACACACACGCGCTCACACACACGCAAACGCAAATGCACATAGTCAAAGGTTTACAAACATACAATCATTCGGAAACGAACACATATGGGCACCTTTAATATATATATTATACAATATATATACATACATTTATGTATATTGTATAATAAATATATTGTAAATATATTAATATATATACAATAGATATATATTTAATACACATACTATACAATCAATCGGAAGCGCACACATACGGACACCTTTCCAACTGGGTCGATAGGCTTCATCTCGTGATCGCAAGAAAGGCATTCGATTCCTTATCGTGATACCCAATGGTTCCGATCGTGTTCCTATTGCCTGTCAGTTATTGCCCAATTTGGTTTTATTGTTTTATGATGTAATAATGTTCTCCCTGGATGCTACCTGGTGTGAGAAAGTTCAGGTTCTTGTCTGGATGTTCACATATCTATAAGTAATGCACTATACTGATACATAGAACATTAAATCTGATTTTCTTCTTTTTTTGTTTGAGTGTGTGTGTGGCGTGGCGTGTGTGTGTGAAAGAAAGAGAGAGAGAGAGAGAGAGAGAAGAGAGAAGAGAGAGAGAAGAGAGAGAGAGAGAGAGAGAGAGAGAGAGAGAGAGAGAGAGAGAGAGAGAGAGAGAGAGAGAGAGAGACAGAGCGATACAGAGAGAGAGAGTGAGTGAGTGTGTGTGTGTGTGTGTGTGTGTGTGTGTGTGTGTGTGTGTGTGTGTGTGTGTGTGTGTGTGTGTGTGTGTGTGTGTGTGTGTGTGTGTGTGTGTGTGTGTGTGTGTGTGTGTGTGTGTGTGTGTGTGTGTGTGTGGTGTGTGTGTGTGTGGTGTGTGATGTGTGTGTGTGTGTGTGTGTGTGTGTGTGTGTGTGTGTGTGTGTGTGTGTGTGTGTGTGTGTGTGTGTGTGTTCTCTATACAATAGAGAGAGAGAGAGAGAGAGAGAGAGAGAGAGTGAGTGTGTGTGTGTGTTTGTGCGTGTGTGTGAGGGAGAAGGACCCAAGAACCATCGGATACTGGAAACGAATCCAACGAAGGGGAGAAGAGATCAGAAGTGAGAGTCCGGTTCAGAGGAGGATGGCGACTCGACAAGATAGCACACAGACTACACCTGCACGATCCAGCCAATTACGATCCCCTAACAGTGATGAACTTTCTCCTGGACTCAGCAACACGACAACACCATCAAGGTACAATGGACTCAGTGAAGTTAGCAGTGAAATGGATAAAGAGGGTAGCGAATTACTACGAGAATTACCAGGAACACCCAGTTCACGGGACGACAACTCAGACAACCAGTTGGCTACATCAAGTGAGGTCACACCTTCCTCAGCTAATAAAAACATTGTCGAGCCTGAGACAGTACGGAAAGACACCAAGAGGATGGGACGAAAGTCTAGTCCAAATCCAAGGAGTTTGGAACAATCTAAAAAGCAGAACACAGTTCGGCTCATGGTATCACCTAGACCACTTGGATCAAACAATAGAGGTAAAAACAGTCCTCTCGGACGGAAGGGTTCAGCCAAAAAGACCAAACCCAGAAACAGAAACACCTGTGGCAAAGAGACTACAGCAGGAAAAGAAAAGAACAAATCAAGAACCGGAAAACCAAGACCAGGAACATCAAGAACAGGAGAAAACAGGACAACGAAGAGCCAGAAGAAGACTCGAATTCACAGAATACACATCAGGAAACGGGGGAACAAATAATAACAGAAACAAAAGCCCAAAGGACAGTGACGATGGACAATCAACAGAAGATGAATGGGAGATCTATAAGTTCCTCAATGGTGTATTCCATCACAATATATTGCTAATGCAGCTTCCTCAGGGGCAAATTTCATGTTAGTTCAACTTCCCCTGGAGAAAATTAAAATTCTCACTTCTCTTGTCACTTCCTTATATAGCTTCCCTAAAGGAATGGGGGGAGGGGATAAAAGGTTCTTAGGATCCGCTACCTAAGGTAGCTAATCCCCCCCTTTTAGGGAAGTTATATAAGGAAGTGACAAGAGAAGTGAGAATTAGTTTTAATTTTCTCCAGGGGAAGTTGAACATGAAATTTGCCCCTGAGGAAGCTGCATTAGCAATATATTGTGATGGAATACACCATTGAGGAACTTATAGATCTTATTGACAGAAACAGAACAAGGAAAGGAAGTGATTAAGGGAGTCAGAAATATTTACATAAAAGGAAGTGAATACATATAAATTGTGATCGGAAGTGATACCGGAAGTAACAATTTTTTTTTTTTTCAGATAAAGTGGATAGGAGTAAGATAGAACGATACTGGAAGAGTGTTTAAGATAGACCCTGATTATGAACCAAGGCACTACCAACCACGAGAACACTACTGGGACGAGAACACACAGCCAGATAGAACACAGAGAACAGAACAGATAGTCCAGAACTGGGAGATGGACGATATGATTCTGGAGGAGAATCCTCAGAACCTGACGACGAATGGAACACAATCTACAGTTTCGTCATCTTTGGGAAGAACAGGAAGCCCATTCTCCAATCTAGAGTTAAATTCTCCAACGTAGTTTACGGAAAGGGAACGGAACAGGAACACATCCACATCGTCTTCAGTGCCTTCCACTCCAACAGGTGGAGATCCGTGGAAAGAATTAGCGCAGCATTTGACCTCAACCCAACCGAAACTCAGGTTGCTAAACTCTCACTTATCAAAGTCAGGGCCCCCGAGAAAAATGCCATATACCTTAGCCGCAGCGGTATCAGAGACGGGTGGGTACAGTATAACGGTGGAATCCAAACAATAGTAGAGTTCCTACAAGAGTACCAATATGTCAACCTACGAGAGAATGTTAACGTAAGAGATGGACTAACATATTGTTTGCAGGACTTAGCAGCCAAGAGAGAATAGAGAAAGGTGGAAAGAACAAAGGTAAGAAATTATGATGTACAGTATGATAATTCTATGAAACTGTGATAAATACAGACCTTTAGCTCCAGGACAGATCAAGAATATTATACCACCAGAAGAGAAGAGAAACCTATTTGTAGTCTATGGACCTTACTACAACACAATCATGAAGAACGGTTTTGATATAAGGCTACAAAAAGAGAATACAATATTAAGAAGTATGACATATATGGAGAGACTGAGACATATCTACCCAGAAGATAAAGAATTAACCAGGAACGAATGGCAACAAGTACGACAATTCAAAGATATTATTGAAAAGAACAATATAAACTTCAGGAGATTCATTGCCAGATTCTGCTATGTATTCAATGGAAGAAACAGCAAGATACATGCATTTGTAATAGAAGGAGTTAGCAATGCAGGAAAGTCGTTAGTTGCAAGAATGCTACTTCATAATCTCCACCCGACAAAAATCACCAAGAATTCAAATGGTAACAACTTCAGATTCTCGTGGTTGCCAGATTACTATAGTAATTGTGTACTATGGGAGGAAGCATCAATCCCGAAAACAGAAGTAGACTTATGGAAGTCTATCCTTGGAGGAGAAGAGATGGAAACATGTTAAACACCAATCCCTACATTACCCTGGATCATCACAGCAAATAGAGACATTACAGACCATTTGGAAGGACAAGACAAAGAAAGCATTATAAAAAGGATATTCAAATCTAGATTCAAGCGAGTGTTGGCAACTCAGTACCTCAAAGTGCATATAGAGGGTAGGCAATCCAACGGTTCATACTCCTCAACCGTGAAGCCATCGAGTAAGTCCACAGGCGCGTTCCGTTCAGCACACCTACTCCTTGCACAAGACACAGCCAGTGCCACGCTACCAGGCGGCCCAACCAAATGAACAGAAGAACACAGAACTGTGTCTCCATACCCACTAAAGTCGGGGAAACCAAACCCTGACAGAGAGAGAGAGAGAGAATGTGTGTGAGCTCACGCTCGCGTGTGCGCATGTGTTTAAAGAGAGAGAGAGAGAAAGATTGTGTTGTGTATACTAATATATGCAGATAGACCCAATTGATTTGGAATTTTCTTGAATCTGTTTTATTATACCAATTGATACTCATTCTAATATATTCTACCATTGTCTCTAATTTGTTTTCTTCAATCTTGCCTTAAATACTAAGTTAAATATATGTGATATGTATGTGTTTTGTTCTCTAGTTTTATTCATAATTTTCAGTTACCAACTTTTTCCCTACGTTCCTTTGTAGATAAGATTTTAAAATTACACAAGAATTATCAGTTTTTCCAAAGTGTAATACCAAGATAACAAAAAAAGGAAAACAGTCTCATATTTATTATCATTTTCATTTACAAATCACTTTAATAAAATAAACTTTTATAAAGATATAAATTCCCACAACTTACTCAGAACCTAAAGTGACAAAAACATAACTAAAAAGTCAATTCTCCAAATACATAAAACTGTAACACACACAAACAAGAGGATATTATATACAAAAATGAAACAAAGTCATTTAGCAACTGTATTATTATTCTGACCAAATATATACAAATCAAGTGCCTTCAATAAAATAACAAAACTGATATGTTTTTCGTGTTAAAAAATGAAATTACCTCCGGGGGGATTCAGTCGATCAGTCATATATCTTAGCAGCCATAATGCATTGCAATTATAATCTCAAGCGCACAGCAGCCAGAATCAAAAGAAAAGCCTAATATCGAAGAACTGTTGTCATTTTTTTGTAAATATATACCAATGCACCAAACACTCAGACGATTGGACTGTACATTATATATAAATCCTTTAAGTTTTTCTTTTCTATTCGGCAACTGAACAAGTTTTGCTTTTATCCATTACGTTTATAAAAAGAAAAAAAAGGAGGAGGAAACTTGCACACAAACACTCAGCTTATGCCAAACATTGAGGCAGAACAAACACTAGATATGAACATGGATGAACACATACTCACACACATACACATAAAACAAATGCAGTCACCCACACATACACACGAATTTAATTGTCAATACATGTAGTGAAATAAAATTTTCTATAATAAAGATTTTGTGCAATTTCATAATGCATTTACAATGATAAAAGTCTTTTTTTTATTATTTATTTGGTCTCTCAATCTCTCTCTCTTCAGTAATATAGCAATATTTGTATAACCAAATATTTTGACATCTGACAATTTGAAACCAGCGCCAATATGCTAATTCTGTCATGACTTGGTTCCTCTTTATACAATACATACAGTCACTGGCACAGACACACACTCAATGGGTTTGAGCTGCCAGTGATGCCTTTTTATACAGGTTAAAAGTCCACAGTCATATCTTGTAAAATCTGAATAACTTAAAAAATTCTCTATAAACTAAAACAAATTTACTAAAAAACAAAACAAAATGAAAAAAATATATCATAGGCACATCTTATAAAAAATCTAATAAACATTTCTCAGTAAAAATTATTTACATATTTTCTATATGTACGAAATCTGTCAAATATGGAATGTATAAACAGCATGTGCATGTGAAAAAGCTTATGTGCATCATAAAATGTGTATTCAACCTGAATATCTTTAAATGCTAAAAGACTTGCATAAAAGATAATAAACATATACAGTATAAAGATTTCCAGGAAGGAAAAATATTCTGCAGGCTTTCTTCACAAGCAATAGAAGCTGCATGTCACCCAGCTAAACCACAAAGGGAGAGTGACAGGTGTCCTTCTCTAAGTATCACTGTGGAAATTGTAAATAAATTATATCACACTTGGTTCATAAAACCTTTGGTCTTATGTAATAATTATATAAAAAAAGGAAAAAAAGAGAGAAAAAAAAGACGACAATTTACTAAAAAGTAAATGACTCTGGTAAGAAGTGCATACAGCACTTCAGGCGCTATCATACGCTGGACTCGGTAATCACCGGGGGGTTGGCAGTGTTGGTTAGCCCCTTAGGGTAGTCCTGAGAGATGCAATGCTCAGGAGTCTTACATATGCTCCTCCTCCCATTCATCTCTCCTCTGTCATACTTGAAGTCTTGGATGCACTTACTCTCTTCCCTCTCATACTTGTAGTCTCGGTCATACCTTGAATCCTCATACTTGTAGTCTCGGTCACAGGAGGGGTCTCCCCTGTCATACCTGTAGTCCCGGTCAAATTTGGAGTCTCTCTCATAAAGAAGATCCCTGTCATAGCTAAAATCACGGGTGCACTTTGTGTCCCTACTGTATTTGTATTCCCTGTCGCAGTGAGCATCTCTGTCATAGAGGAAGTCCCTGTCACACTTGCTTTCACGCTCATACTTGTAGTCCCTGTCACATCTGATATCTCTGTCATATATGCAATCTCTGTCATATCTACTGTCCCTATCACATTTGAAATCCCTGTCATATCTGATCTCTTTTTCATATGGAAGGTCCCTGTCTATGCTATGGTCATTTTCATACCGACTGTCTCTCTTATACTTCAATTCTCTCTCAAATCTTGATTCCCTGTCATACTTTCCATCTCTCTCTGCCTTCAGTGAACATCTCTCGAACTTGTGGTCTCTGTCTGACCTATTGTCTCGGTCCATGCTGTGCTCCCTGTCATACCTGTCCTCTCTCTTGTTCATATATTCGCCTCTTTCACTCTTCCCCTCTCGGTTAAATTTAGATTCCACTCGATCATACCGACTGTGTTTGGTGCTCATGCCATTCAGGTTGTTTTTAACTGGACCGCAGTAGCTTACAGAGGGCACAGCATTGCTGTTTCTCCCACTAACAATGGCCTGTCTTGACAATACCCCATTCTCTTTCCGGCTCGCACTCGGTCGCTGATTCTTGTAAGAGTCACTGGGAGGCTCTCTTGGCTTGGATGGATATTTGGGTGCGAAGGGCGGCCTCGGGGACGTACTGATGCCATTGCTGACTGGGGTCTTAGGCCTGGGTGCTCTCGGGCTGGCTGTAGGGGTGTTGATCACCACAAAGCTGGGGGTTTTGTTGGTGTTTGTGCTTCTTGTAGACATTCTGGTGGGATGCAAAGATGTGGGAGCCTCAAAATTCTTGGGAATGGGAGTAATTCTGACCTCTGGTGTTACATTGCTGCTTTCACTGTAGATTTTGTCTCTGTTTGGTTCTTCTACACTTCCATTCAAGTGACTGTAATCCACGCCATTGACTATAGGACCACTCGCATTGCTGGACGTACTGCAAGAACTAACCATGCTGGGCGTCCGGGACACAACCCTGATGCGTGGCTCAGGGGTCCCACCACTGGACGACTCACTGGGATTCCTTGGGCGGAGGGTGAGGGTAATGACGCTTCGTTTAGGTTGCATCTGAGCAGTGTGGCCCTGGTGAGCCGCAAGCACCTCTGGAGTGGCAGGGTGGATTCGGACCTCCGGCGTCTGCTCCTCTTGGTTAGGGTCGTCCTCACTCTTATCAGGGGAAGGTAAGGGAGAATCCTCATACTTCTGGGTAGCCTTGTCTGCAACCTCTGGCTCAGCATGCCCATTCATCACAGGAGGTTCTGGTTTTGATACATCAACAGAGTCCTCCAGATCCTGGTCCCGCAGCGCCTGGCAACGTGAAATCAGGACCGTCTTTCCTGGAGAATTCCTCTGGACATCTGACATCTCCTGATCACTGTCAGGGGCACTGGAGATGCTGTTCTCACACTCCATATTGACATCTCCATTCTGTGTTGGTAGAACTTCCACCTTTATGGTCTCAATCTTCAAGTTGGACTTAGGTGCCTCATCACTGGGAGAGTCTTCGTCCTCATGCAAGGTGTTGGTTGACCTTCTCTTCAGAATGGGAGATTCCTGTAACAAGAGAATCCACATAAACCTTCAAAACCAACTCTCTTTGGCATACAGTATCATTCAGATAACTGCAGGAATTACTTTAATAAAAGTGATCATATCAAAACAAGACACAGGTACTTATCAACTGTGATCATAGCCATAAAGCACAACAGTAAATAATATCAATAATTCCTTTCCAAACCTTTTCCCCCATTTAAAATCATCCAACAGATATGCAAAACAACATAAAGCCAGAGGAACCCACTATGATGACCCAACACAAGCACTAACCTCATGCGAAGCCAATGGTGCCTCCGTGTCTGACGCATGATCACGCTCTGTTGACGACTGTCTCTGTGTCCTGGCATTCACTGGCAGAGTTCCATATGACCGTCCTCTCTCAAATGGTGGCGGAGCTAGAAAGAAACACCCTGTGAAATAGGCTGCTCGACACACATAAGCAAAATGTTTGGCACATTACAACATGGGGCTGAACAGTGATGAAGCATTCTAGAATATAAATTGGTATCTATTAATGTTCAAGCACAATCAAATTTGGAATGAGGTTCAATAACGGTAAATAAATAATACTCTCCCCCAAAAAATCACTTTACACAAAAGCACATATTAAGAAAGATTCTCTACATCACCTGTGCAAGCAAGACATTAGCAATCTCCACACAAGAGATCAACAAGCATAGAGAAACAAAGACAGACACAACAAAAGGACCTACCCTTCTTTTCACTGAAGGACTGAGGAATTAGAGTGGACGGCAGGTGAGACAGAGGGATGCGGTAAGCCCAGTGCTCGGTCCCGCCTTCACTACAGCTGTTGTTGATGTGGCCCGACTCACTCCGGCGCTGGGGTAAGTAGGAACGTCATGCGTCATTTTAGGGGGGTTTGGCAACTTTATGAATTAGTTATATGAAGGGGATTATGCGAGGCGATCAGTTTATTATATGCTGTATATATAAAAAGGAGAGGTGATTCAAAAAGGAAAGGATTAACTCTTTAATCCTGGTCTGTCTGTTAAGGCTGTTTTTACTGCATGAGGTGATTATCGAGAGGGATGACATTATTAATTGCTATTAAATAGAAGGAGGATCAAGGTTGCTTTGAGCTTCATACCTGGTAGAAAAGAATGTACGCGTCTGGGGTGACCACATTCTCCTCCGCTGTAACTTCCACTTTACTATCATCAAAATTATACCATTTGTCGTCCGCACTGTTCTTGCACACGGCTGCAATTGGAGAATTACAGATGATGATTGTAATATGGATGATGATGGTGATGATGACAATGATGACAGAAACAATGAAGGTTTGGATAATAATAAATATTCTAATCAATATATTGCCGTCCTATGATATGCAATGTAATTTTACCTTGAATTTCTCTTCATACGTAACTTGTCTCCTGAATGATAAATCTTTATTGTATGCATGCACAAGCAACACTCTATAATACTCTATAAAAACATCACAACAATGTAATTTTTATCTACACCCTAATTTGTCCAATTTTTACACATATCTAGATGTTTTTAAATAGCAACATGCAAGGGTTCTTAATCTTTTCAAAGTCATATCCCATTTAATGTTTGGTTTTTGCCACATCTGTAGCCCTCTCACCTTCAACCAGATGATCAATTCCCTCCTAACTGAAAATCATCATTAACATAAAAGTTATCAAATGGATATTTTTGTTTTCCACTGTTCTTCACAGAATCATTAAGATATCATTTTCAAAACTCCTAAAATTTTCCTCCTGAATCGTGCCCTCCCAGAGTTAATATAGCTACATAATTATACAACTTAGTCACTTTAATATATAATCATTAGTCTTTGAACCTCTGTGCAAGCATATAATCAATAATTACTCTGAGCTTTCATATTACCACACTCTGGTTAACTTTATGAGCACTCAACTTCCAGTATGCATTAAGTTGTATTATAGTTTTAAATTAACTGAAAGCCCAAAATGATGATTGACAAGACCCTCAGCAAATACAAATCCTCAAAGACCTTGTATTTCTTTTGCCAAGAAAAATGGAAACATATTATTACCCTCTACTTCTTGCTCTCTCTATTTCTCTCTCCTGCTGGTCCTCCTTGCCCTCTCTCCTGCTCCATCCTGCTGGTCCTCCTTGCCCTCTCTCCCGCTCCATCCTGCAACCTTATCTATTTCCTACACCTTTCCCTCACCTTCTCCACATTTCCCTTATCCCCTGCCTCCATTCCCTCCCCTTTCAGAACTTTCGTGAACCCACCTGTATAGTGTCCGCCTTGCATGTCCTTGCCATGGTGGTTGCATACTGCATAGAGGTCATAAACATTCTCCTCATTGTGGGGGACGTATCGCTTCGGCCGCTTCCAGGGTGACCACACTCCCCCTAGCACGCCCGAATCTACGTTGTTCTGTGTGTTATTGCCGGTCGTCCGGCTGGCCACGTGTTCCGAGATGTCAAAGCCCGTCAGGGGGAACTTGACGGTCGTTGACAGCTTGGAGGAATTGCTCTGTAAGGTTCCCTGGAAGAATAAGGAAAAGACATGCCAATCTTCTATCTATGCAATCTTGATTGATCAAATAAAATACCTACAATAATAATTTTCGACAGTAATCATCACATCATCAAGTAGGAGGAGGGAGGAGGAGGAGAGAGGAGGAGGAGGAGGAGGAGGAGGAGGGGGAGGAGGAGAGGAGGAGGAGGAGGAGGAGGAAGGAGGGGAAGGGGGAGAGGAGGAGGAGGAGGAGGAGGGGGAGGAGGAGAGAGGGGAGGAGGAGGAGGAGGGGGGGGGGGGGGGAGGAGGAGGAGGAAGAGGAAGAGGAAGAGGAAGAGGAAGAGGAAGAGGAAGAGGAGGAGGAGTAAGAGACAGATCATCATCCTGAGGCAGAATTAGAGGTCAAGAAAGAGAAATGGAAGAAAAAGTAGAAAAGGAAAATGAGGAGAGAACATGAATAAGAGGAGTAGAAAGAAGACAAGGATGAAATACACAAAAGAACACAAGCTCACCTGTCTAAAGCGCTTGAGGTGTATCACAAGGATCTGTGGGGCCGACCAAAGCATGAGTCTCTTCACCACCTGCTGCTTGCGGTTACAAGTTGGGCAGTGCCATGCGTCGCCACAGCCAAGCTTTTCTGCCGACGTGTGAAGCTGCCAAACAAACAGATACACATTAAAATGGAGGCCCTTGGTCATAATGATAATGATAGTAATGATAATCATAACAATAATTACAATTACAAGGCCATAATTGTTTTACCTTAAAAAGAAAGCTGACAGTCTACCATACTACTGGTATACTAGTTATATGTCTGGTGATATTAAACCCTTCGATCCGGATGGTGTGACTGTCACGTCGTGAAAAAATCTGGCTTGAGGGGTAAGTGACATGAACATGCACCCATGGGAAAATCTGGCTAAGAGACAATGTGACAGGAACCTGCCATCATGAAAATTTTGGTGGAAGGCCACGGTGACAATAAGCTCTTGGAGGGGTGATTAGACTCAGTGGGCATTTAGGAAAGGGCTTTTACATTATTTCCATAGAAATACAAGCACTAGCTCTAGGTAGCATGTTATTTCCATGCTCAGATTATATTACAGAAATTTAAATGATAATTTGTAAAAATTACACAAATAACAAAGTGTTACTCATTGTTATTATTACTTAATAACAATGTTATTATGGACTACCTAGAGGGATGATATGGAGTCTGTGCAATTTATTAACATCTGGATAAAGCAAATCTAATAACAAATATAGATACTGGAAAATGGCAAAAGCGCTAAAAACACTAATGCAGAAAAAATAAAATTACACTACAATGGGGAAGCATGGAGTCTTGTCACCGCACCAAGTGCTGGTGTGTGCCTGGTCTACTGGCCACACACCCATTAGGCTCAATGAAGCCTAATGCCCATATTTTTGAGCCACATAATGGCAGTCAAGCATCCGGATCCAATGGGTTAATAACAACAACAAATATATTACCACAATAATAAAAAATAAATAAAAAATAATAATGAAAAACATAATAATAATAGAAAATAACTAACATTCCCACCACCATTCCAACAGACCACCACTACCCAATGCAATTTTGTTTTATCAAATTTGACATAGATGGCTTTTACTATACACCTTGATTTTCTTTTTCTGTACATGTTTCCCGAGCTGGCTGTGCTCACAACCCAGCACGTGGTTTGGCACACCCATTGTGAGAGGGGTATTATCATTGCTATCATTATTATTGACATTATTTGTGTCATCACATTTATTAGGAAAAATATACCTATAAAAATAAAAATGTTTCTCTATAAAATGAGGTAAACAGCTGAGATTATGTAGGCCTGGTGACTAACTCCTTGGTGATTATAAATGTGGAACAGCGAATGTGTAAACAAAGTTCATAAGCTAAAATTACAGCCAGCATGGCATGTATAAATGCCATCCCAGTACCAATGGGACGGCCCTTTATGTAATTCCCACCTGTAAACATTGGTGTAAAGACACAGATGCACATTGCTGAGGGTTCTCCTTGAGGTCCTTCACACTCGCGTGCACATCCATGTGGTCTACATCGTCAATAATGTACCTGTGTAAAAAGAAAGATTGAGTTCCCTGTTCCTGAATTTGTGTTTTATCTATCAGCACACAAATGAGAACGTGATAACAGAGTCCTATTTTACTGAATTCTCAAAGTGCAACGCCTAATTTAACACATGAAAAGCTTGAGCTGTTTTCATTTTGCTTTGTTTCTGTGGCCTACAAAGATTTTTACCGAACCTGAGAGACCTGTGGAGTAAGCCAATAACAGAGAGCAAAGTCACTAAAATACACTAAAACAATTTCATAATATTAGCAATAATAAATATCAACAGTGACAAAACTGAGTATCATCATCTTAACAGTAACCATTACACTAAAACATTCTGGGAATCCCCATCTGCACTGATCATCTTCCTATAAGCATTTAACCATGAAGAAAGGGAAATCTTACCAACAATGGAGTGAAATCAAAGCTAGCAACTCCAAAAGTAAGGGGAACTAATATGCCTTCATCAAATGGAAGGAAGTATCAATACTAGGAGTACACTATGGAGTAAATCATTGTCACACCTTATAAAGAAAATCTTTAATCTTCAGGATCTTTAACTATATCCTTGTCATTTGTTGACCCATTTCCCTTAAAAGATATAAATAAACAAATCTAAGAAGCATTGGTAATGAAATTGGGGGAAATCCTCCCAAATCTATTCTTATATACTAAAATTCTTTTCAGATATCCTATCCTCTCTCCTTTCCTTCCTCCATCACTTCCTATATCCCTAACAATTTTCCTCTCTCCTTCACCTCCCATTATACCCTATCTCCCCATCTCCCACTCTCATCTCCTCCCACGTTCTCTCTTCTAACCACCCGCCCCTTCCTTACTTTTCTTTGGTTTCAGACGTCCACTGTAGGATAAGCTTCACATGCGGAGGGCCTGCGGAAGGTTCACAGAGTGCCAACGCCTGCTCCACACTCTCATGGAACAGTGGCACGTCAAGAGCCGGGTCCAGGCAGACCACACAACTTCCTCCGTCATCGACACCGATTAGGAATAGTCCACTCTGTTGGGGGAAAAAACATAATTTGATGTGAAAACTGAAGAAGGCAAATGGAATGTTTTAGGGAAAACAAAGGAAGGGGTGGAGTGGGAGTGAGGACGAAGTATGAGTTAGAGGAAAAGGAGTAGTAATTAAGGGCAAAAATGAGGCAAATGGAAAAAAGTGCAAGAAGAAAGACAATATCATTCTCTAAAACAAACTAGATTCTATCATATAATCTAAGAGTTGAAAATACAGGACAAATATGGGGGAAAAAGAATGCATTTCTTATAATCCTCTGACACATTGCCTCACCACCAAATTCAAAATCTTTCTTCAAACTTTCTCTACTGCTGAGGGACAGTGGAGAATTATTACTAAACAATATATATAAGCAAAACTCCAGCTAAGATCTCAATGTCCCTCACCTCTTGTTCTGAAGTCAGAGTTTCGTTGGTGACCATGTTGGTCATCTCTTTGAGCAGTAGCTTTTGTAGGTCTACGTAACTGACATCTCTCACCACCTGACTCTGATAAACACCACCAAATCTGGAAGAGAAGAAAGTATTGTTATTCTATTATCATTGTCATTCTTACCTTTATTTAGTATAGGTCTGACTTCTGACACAGTCTGCTAATACGTATACATACGTCTGAGGCAGGGGCTCAATTTAGCTAGCAGAAAACATATGGAAACTCCATGAAAGTTAGTTTCTTGTTTATCATACAGACAAAAATTTCCATCAAAACAATATCAATCAGTCAACCAACCAACTACAGACCGGCTACAAGAAACACCCTTTTCCTTTTATCTGTAGGACCTACTCTCTCAGCAAAGCCCACACACCTCCCAAATAGTAAGAAGGTAAGCAAATAATTAATAAGAAACAAAGTAGGTATATCATTACATAACTCAATCAATTAAATATATAATATATATATATATATATTATATATATATATATATATATTATATATATATATATATATATATATATATTATATATATATATAATATATATATAATATATAAACTAACTTGGACAGAAAAAACAAGATCCCAAAACCCTCACATATCCCTCCTATTTCTTACCTAATGTTGTCTGGCTCGGCAAGTACCACATTGACCCAAGTGACGAGGATAAAGGCACCGCTGTCCTGGGAGGGGGGTTTGTGGGGGGGCAACTCGATGGCATACACTGGGTCTGTCTCACTGATGACGTTCACTGATGTGTCATCTGTGGGAGGAGAGAAACTGGTCATTTACCTATTCATTTATTATTCATTGCTATGCCTTTAGTATTGTTTTAATAATTTCTCTGCATATAGATGGCTCTGCCTGTGCTTTGCCACAAAGGAGTCACATGATATCACCTTACATTGAGTTTGCAGAAAAACCTTTTTTTTTTACCAATCCTATCAATATTGATACTGCTATTTTCATTATAAACATCATAATTACTAAAATGTTATTAACATTTCTAAAAGCAGTACTAAATACCCAGAAAATATTATCGAAAATCAAGGAAAAGAGTAAAAAGGTGAGACAGGTAGTTCTTGTAATTGGCTCATCGGTGACTTAATACATGTGGAGCCATATATATGTAAAAACAATTAATAATTTAAACGCACAGTGGGCATGGCATGTACGCACATACCACCCCCGGCAGCATGTGATTCATTTTGTTGTGGATGCAATAAAAGAAAATCACACTACATATACACAAAACTAAACTTTCAAATGCCAAAAATCTAAATGCATTTAACAATAAACACATAACACATGAATTATATGAAAAGAAACATAACATGACAAAACTGGCCTATAAGACATGAATCTGACTCTTCCTCCTTTAAAAAACCTTCATAATCTTGTGTACTTTACCAGATGATATATCAACATATCTTTCAAAAATCAAGAGATTTCTGGTCTGCAATACAATACCATTAGCATATCTACAGTTTGAAACCTTTCAAACAGATCATGTTTCTGCATAAAAAGACAAACAGGCCTAGCACAATATCTCAAAATAAACAAAAAGAAAAGACCGATTGTGATGGTTGAATTGCTAGTGTACTCTCAAACAAAGCAGATATAACCAGAGCCACTTATTTCTTGATAAGTCAATCTCTTACTTCGATTTCCCTCTTGGCCTCACTAGACGGGGTAACATCTAATACAGGTTTTCATTTTTTTCTTGTTTTATCAGAACTTGCTCATTCAATCAATTTCAATACCTCTATCGATCAGCTTTCATCTTCCTATACTGCTCGGTTCTGTGGACAATTGTAAAATAAACATGTCCACACATATACAAATACACACACCATTTTCATGATTTATAGTGTAATACTCAACCATTTCCATCTCTCTCAACTTTTTATCCTCCTCAACACATTTGGTCCATCATATCCTCTTCATAGTTCAGAGTGTGTAGCTATCAAGTGTCCTCCATGTCCTTTAGCCAATATGAATTATAAAAAGTCGAGAGGAGGGAGGGATGGGAGGGAGGTGAGGGCGGAGATAGGAGTACAAGGGAATTGAAGAAGATGGGGGACAGAGAGAGGAAAAAGAAGATGAGAAAGAACGAGGAGGAGAACGAACAGCACCACAAAGAAAGCAGAACGAACCAATCCAGCATGAGAGGCGAATGAGGATTCTCTACAGAACATGCGAGACGGTACACGAAGACGAATGAGACGCGAGAGGAGAGAGGAGCGACACACCCATCACACAACAGACACGACGAAACAAACACGACCGCAACATCACACTCACGGACACACACACAACTACAGCCCACATCATGATTGTAAGGTATATCGAGAGAGTGGATATAGTATATATATATATAGTCAGGATAGATAAAGTAGAATGTATGATGTGTGATAACTAGTCATAGGAGCGGGCCGAGGGTGATAGATAGATTGTATATCGGTGAGAGTTATGGAAGTGTGAAGTAGAAGTGAGAGTGAGGTGAGAGTGAGAGTGAGAGTTTGATGAGTGGATGTTGGAGAATATGAGGGAAGTGAGAATGAGTAGTGAGACATTTAGGATAGAGTGAGAATTGAGAGTTGAGAGACATCGGAGACGAGAAGGAGAGCCGACGAGATGAGAGAGAGAGGATATACATGTAGCGAAATAAAGAGAGAACGAGAGAGAGACGAGTATGAAGAGAAGAAGTGACGTAGAAAGAGAGGATATATGATGAAGAGATAGGAGAGGAGGTTGGAAGATCGAGTCGGTTTGATAGAAGGGTGAAGGTGTTTGAAATGATGATAGTTATTCACTATGTTAGAGTGTTAGATATGAGGAGTAGGTATAATAGAAGAACGTATTGATCGAGACGGTGAAGTGATAAAGTTATAAACTCTTACATATTTGTGATGTATGCAGTAAAATATGCATTATATATCGTCTAACCACTATGATTATATCATACCTAAGGTTTCTTATATAAAAATATAAAGTATACTATATATAGTATATGATAAGTAGAGATAAGGTGAAGAGAAGTTTCTTATTATATAGTCGTCACTTGTATTTAATGTGATAAAGTATGCAATTATGATATGTTGTGGAATACACTATACATGTATCATCCCTACTATACTTGTATTTCATGACATATTCCTTTTTCCGTCTTTCTATTACTCGCCAAGTAAAATTGTCGCTTCCTCTTTTGGAATTCTTTCGTAGGCAATTTGTGCTTTCTAGCGGATTTTTACAAAGGAGGATCTCTACCGAACGTATTTGCCTCGTTAAAAACAACAACAATCAAATGTAATTCTTTCTACTTCCGCGTGAGGGTAGAGCGTGGATGTCCCTTCCGCAAGCATGACATTAATACATAGTTCCCGAGAGTGACAACTGGCCGATGGTCGCGTAATTTTGGGCCACGAATTCGAAGCCAGCTAATGGAAACGTCGTAAGTCCTTGCATGTGAAACATTGTATCTCTTTTTTTTCTTGAAATGCGTGAATGAGCCGGAGTGAAGAAGAGCATATGCTAAGAAATGCCCATCATATATTATTTACAGCATGGCTTTTACGTGATGTGTTTTAAGGCCGGAATTGGCACTAGGACCATTGGCGTGACTGGTAACATAGCCCATTTCAATACTGCCGGGGATATTGAACATAAAAAAGATGGAAAAAGAGACACCTGCATAAGACGCGTCCGGTTTCTATTTAGATTCAGTCTTCGCGGAATGGTGATGCTCATTTATCCCTGAACTTAGACCCCAAATACATAAAAGGGATTTTCTGCAGTTCCCGTGCCATTGCTATTTTGATTTCACACAACTCTGCTGACATTTTTCCTTGCATTATTTACCTTGTTGACTGGAACAATATTAAGAAGCACATAACACTGAGAAATGTTACTGTGACCAAAATAAATAGCTTCCATCATTACTTTAAGTCCTATGACAGCAACCATGGCAGGAACTACTGCTCTACCCCTTAGTAGCTGCTGCAAGTGATACAGATTGAACTTTTAATACTACATTGATTTGGCGTCAGCAAAATCTGGAAGAGTTTTGCAAGACTCATACGCCGCAATGTAATGAAGTTCTCATGACAAACGTCCACAAGTAAGAATCCTCAGACGCGTTCCATAATATATACTTATATATTATATATACTCTTACCTCATATACTATATATATAAATATACTATACTATATATACTCACCCACAACCACACCGCACACAACACACACACACACACGACACACACACATACACACACACACACACACCACAACAAACACACACACTACACACACCACCACATTTCATACTATATATATATGTATATTACATATATATATATATTATAATATAATTTATATATATTATACCTATTATACTATGTGTCCAAAACCCAGTGTGTGTGTGTTGTTGTGTTAGTATTACATACATATTTTTATACCTCTATATATATTATATATATATATCTATTATATACTAACTATATTATATATATGGTGTGTGGGTATGTGTGTGTGTTGCCTGTGGTGTGTGTGTGTAGTATATATATGTATATATAATATTATAATATATTATCCTATACTATATATATATATCATGTGTCGTCGCTCGTGTGCCAATGTGAATACTCTCACTATACTATCTGTACTTCACTACTATACATACCACCGCCTCCCTATTATACCTCTACACTACTTCACTACGGGCCTAACATAGTCATAACTAATAACTACCATACTCTGTAGCATATATATATAATCTAGTATTTTATATCTGATCGTGGTTGGTATGTGTGTGTGTGATGTGCTCCTGCTCGCTCGCGCCGCTCCACGGCTCCGTTCCATGGGTGTGATTGAGGCTCTCCGCCGAAGTCCCGCATAGTTGTGTGCTTTTGCTCGCGTGACAGTGTTCCTCGAGTCCAATCGTTGGTTGCTTCTATGCCTCACTGGCGTGTGTGTATCGTTGGATCTGTGCCGCTGGTGTGTGTGTGTGAGGCAATGTGTTGTGTGGTCTAATGGTTGTGCATGGTTAAGAGACTGGTCATTTTTTTTTTTTTTATGAGTGTGGTGCAGTGTAGGTCCAAAATAGAAACTAATGAGGAAGGATGATCTTTAGTCTTTTTTCTTCTTTCTTTATTTTTTATTTTTCTTTGCTGCACTTCAATAGACTTCTATTAATTTCTTCTTTCTCTTAAAGGTCAAGCAGAGAAAGAGAAATTAATTTTCATTTGATGGAGAAAAAAAACTTAATAAGTAATCCTTACAGAACACATTTCCCTTGTCTATAACCAACCAACAAGTTGCCTTCACATCCTTCCCCATTAATAAAAACTATAAACAGACAGAGATAAAAATTCATCTAAGAAATTACAAAAACAGTAGCAGTAACAATGCTATTAACAATGCTATAAATAATCATATATTGACACTACTCTCACTACTTGTACTACCACTACTACTAATACTGTTATTAATGAAACAGTAGTAATTATAAAATAGTAATAACAATATCAATAATAATACTAGTTATAATAAAATAGTAAGAACAAAATTAACAATAACAATAATAATAATGATAACAATAATAATATCAATAACAAAAACCCTAATTAACAGCAATAATAATAATTCTTATAATTTACATTATCATCTTAATTCTTATTACCACTAGTATCATACAAAAAACAATAACAACAAAAGTCCCCCTCCCCTCACCCCAACCCACCCCCACCCCCACCCTTCCCCCTCCCTCCCCTCTTCCCCCTCTCCACTCCCTTCCCTTCCCCCTCCTTCCCCTACCCTCCCATCCTCCCAACCTCCCCTCCCCCCCTCCCTCCCCTTCCCCTCCCTCCCCTCCCCCTCCCCCTCCCAGCTCCAAAAAAAAAAAAAAAAAACACACCCACCTGCTTCGGCTGCTGGTTGAGGTAGACGACGGTGGCGAACACGGCCTGCACCTCCCTCTGCGGGATGGGATGGACACGCACAGGAAAGGGTCGAAGGTGTTGGACTCCTTGTTGCAGTGCGGACACTTCAGCGAGGAGCGGAATTGAGCCTGCGGCGAAGGGGGGAGGAGAGAAGGGGTGAGAACGGGGGTCAGAATGGGGTGAGCTGCGGCGAGAGGGGGGGAGGAGAGAGGGGTGAGAACGGGGGCGAGAATGGGGTATGGTGGGGGGAGGAGAGAGGGGTGAAAATGGGGTATGAGTGGGGAGGGTGAGAATGGGGGTATGAGAGGGGAGGGTGGGGATGGGGTGAGAGGGGGAGGGGGAGAATGGGGTATGAGTGGGGGAGGGGAGAAGGAGTGAGAATGGGTATATGAGTGGGATAGGGTGAGAATGGGGTATAAGAGGGGAAGGGGGAGAGGGGGGGAATGGGGTATGAGCGGGGAAGGGAGGGGTGAGAATGGGGTATGAGTGGGGGGAGAGGGTGAGATCGGGGTATAAGGAGGGAGAGGGTGAGAACGGGGTATGAGTTGGGAGGGGAGGGGAGGTGAGAACGGGTATGAGGGGAGAGGGAGGTGAGAAAGGGTATGAGGTATGATTAGAGCTCTCAATGAGGGTGGGGAGTAAGATGGGGTATAAGGGAGGGGGGGAGAGGGAGAGAAGATTTAAATGAGGGAGAAAGGGCTGTGAAGAGAAGAGGGTAAGAGGGGAAGACATGAGGCCCGACGACCGAGGAGGCACGATTCTCGGATTGCATACGTCTTGAACACCCGCCCCTGAGGACGCAGGGAGCGTGAGAACAGCCAGTGCCTATAAGGACTGGGGCGGTGAGGGGGAGAGGACGTAGCTCAAACTGAAGCGATGAGAGGAGGAGGAGCACAAATGCCAAACTATCAACACGCTCTCGTACAGATAATATCCAAAGTATCATGTAGCACTCGTACTACCAGGGTGGGGGTGGGGGAGCGTATGAGAGGAGATTTACAATTGGGTGCAGTTAAGAAACGGGAGTACAGGGCGGGGCGCGGGGGAGGGGGGAGAGCTCAGTGAGGGAGGAGTGTCGGGCCAGATATGGAATATACAATCCGGGAGCGTGCTGTGGGGGGAAAGGACCGGGCGCACAGTCACGCTTCAGGAGCCACCCCAATCCCACCTCCCTCAACACCAACAGCACGGAAACTTGCTGAGACAGCTAACCATAGCGCTACCCGACGTCAGCAGTACAGTCACTGCCTCAAGAGGAGGCGACCATATCAACTGGATAGGCAATACGATTGTAGACCCGGCGACTAACAATAACCCGAAAACAAATGCATAATGATTACCAGTCAACGGCTTTATATATAGAGCTTGGCATGCATGCTGCTGACAATAACCACAAAGTTGAAAATTTCATTAGCTACTTATACCAATCAAACCCAACAACACATAAGGTTTCAACCCGCACAGCTGTATATATCGTCATTCAGCCTACCCATTCCTACCCTTTTACCCAATCCTCACTCCGGCCTCCCCCTCACTACCTCCTTATCCTCTTCTCCATCTCTCCTGCCCCTCCATATCCTCTTACACGCATCTCTCACTCCATCCTCTTCCATTGCCACTCTTCTACCCAACCTAATTCCCCATCCCCTACTCTTCTCCCACTCCACGAATCCTACCTAATCAACCCTCTTCTACACTCCTCCACTCCAACCACCACTCCCTCTCCCCAAGTCCCTCCCTCCCTCCAATCGCCCTCCTTCCTTCCTTACCCCTACCCCTTACTCCTACCCTTCCTCTCTCCCTCCCACTCCCAACTACAACCACCCATCCCCCCATTCACCTCCCCCTTCCCTCCCTCCCCTCCCTCCCCCACCCCCACCCCCACCCCCTTCCCCGAAACCAATGCTGCGTCCACGCCCTCTAATTATTAATACGTTTGCAGTGAGAAATCGACTCCTGACGGATGCACTCTTGCTCGGAACGAAGGGCGCGGAGTCTCGGCCCGCAACCCGAGCGAAGGAGCTGGGCTTTGCCTGAGGGAACGGAGGGAATCGTTTGTTTGTTGTTTGTTTTGCATTTGGGGTTTGTCGCGATTCTTTTTTTTTTCATTCTCGTTTATACATCAACGGCAATCGGTCAGTCAGTCAGTCAGTCAGGTAAACATTGATTAACTGGGAGACTCTTTCTTTCTGAATTTCTCTGTCTCTGAACTGTTCTCTCTGTCTCCCTCCTCCTTTTTCTAACCCCTTCCCGCCCCCCTCTCCTCCTCTTTCCCCTCCCTTCTCCCCTCCTCCTCCTCTAACCCTCTCTTCCCACCTCCCCCTCTAACCCAATACCCATCCTTCCTTCCCTTCCTCAAGCCCTCCTCCCTCCTCTAACCTACCCACCCTTCCCTACCTCCACACCTTCTTCCCTTCTTCCCTCCTCCTCTAACCCTCCCTCCAAACACACATACCCATCCTTCCTCCCTCCTCTAACCTCCTCTCCCTCCCTCCTCCTCTACCTACTACCACCCTCCACCCTCCAACCTCCAA